AGCACACACACACACACACACACACACACACACACACATATACACACACGATTAAAGGAGGTCAGGGGCACCTAATTTCAGAAGTAAAACTAGCGAGAAAATGGCCGCCCAATTTTGGTAACTTCCATGGCCTAAGAGTCCTTGGAAACTGATACTTTGCATTTTTTGTGCCTTTAATCACTGGGTTGTTTGTTTCTTTTTATTCACACAAAAAAGTATTTTTAAATAGACATAAATGGTTTTGAGCCAAGAAAAAGAAAAATAAATTAGAAAAATAATTGCCCATCGGTCAAAACAAAAACGTTGATTTCTTTGATTTTTAAATTATCTATTTAAATTGTTCTGCTCACCTTATACTCATCAGCGTACTGCTCGGCATAGCGCGGATCCACGCTGCAGGGCAATAGGGCTGTCGTGCCGGACACCACTCTTATGGTCATTGGGGTCTCATCAATGACCCTCTCACTCGTGAACACCCCATCTGTGGAGGTAAGGAGGAACTGACATGAGCTGACTCGTCACAAGAGGTAAGGCTGAACTTAAATGAGCCGACACATCACAGCAACGACTACATTTCTGGCCAGAACATTGTGAGATGAGTTAGTACAAGTAGAAGCAACATTGAACAGACGAAAAAGACGGTCAATAGTTGTAAAGTAATACTAGATAATACAAGTAGGCAGGAAGACAATAATATGATAATCTCCTACAATCTCAAGCCCAAGAAAGCCTAGGGTTAGGGTTAGGGTTAAATATAGGGTTATCTCAGGCTGGCAAGCACTGAACTAGAGTGTTCGTTGTTATAAGTAGTAGATTTTCACCCCCCCTTACAAAAAAGGCAAAAAATAAATAGTTCTACTTAACAGAATGCCCACTTTACCATAGTTGACACATTTCTTGCAAAAGGAGTAGAACCCGGATTACAAGCGTCTCATAGAGCACATGTCTACATTTTATTTCGTTCTAGACTTAGCCGTGGGAAAGACGTCATCAGTGAGACTAAGGACTCCAAACTTTCTTGGTGGGAGAGCGATGAATAATTAATCGCTTCGACAGGCAAACCGCCACTATGTTGTTTCTTCTACGAAGAGCTAGAAGTACATGATACGTCCATGAACAAATTGGATCTATCGATTTGCTTAGGTGTTGAGTATTGGTTCCGACAATCTTTGATTTGACTAACTAATTAACTGCTACTGAGTCCATAGAGCTGATAAATTGTACAAAGGTCTGTTGCCATAATTTATTTGCAGAATGATCTTTGGCTTTAGAATTTAGATTGGTTTCTCTGACAGAATGTTCTTAACGTATTAATGTAGGTTCATTAACAATTTACCTGTTGAAAACGGTCACACTGATGTGATACCGAGTAGAGAGAAGGAAGCGGAATTATCACCAGAGCAAGGAAAGGACTTGTTGCACTGAGAGTGATGGCTGCATCTATGCCCCAACGCGCCCTTATGATCATGCTTCAAGCAGTTGTACAGTCAGTAGTGGACTATGGCCTTGGTATGCTCACCCTATCCAAAACCCAGCTACATTGCCTCGAAGTCATTCAAAATGAAGGAATGAGAACTGTTCTGGGATGCACCCGTGACACAGCAGCATCA